AATATAACCTGACAAACTTTGTGCACGCATCAACGATTACTAAAATATGTTTTTTTGAACTGTTTTTGATCTCAACAGGGCCGAAATGATCAACATGTATGAGTTCAAAAGGGGTACTACCTTTAGGGATATTATGCAAGAAACCCTCTTGTCTCCCGTTTTTTGCTGAGAAAGCGATAGACGTTAAACAGTTTTTAATGTGCTGTTCTACCTTTCTTTTTAAATTGGGGATCCAATATGTTTTTGAAATCACGTCTACGACTTTGTCTATCCCGACATGGCCAAGATCGTTGTGATACTTGAAAAAAACATGCGCTTCCATAACCTTGGGCACGTAAAACAGAAGGGTACCATTTTGTTTTTTCCTATACACAACTCCGTTGCGCATCTCATACAGAGCGTGCTCGGTTTTCTCTAACATTGCTTTCAACTTAACGATACTCTCGTCTTTGCCTTGGCATATTACAAGATTTTCCTCGAAAGAATTCGTTTCATAATATTTGTACTTCTGCTTAACGCATCAACATCCTGCATTCTTTTCCCGGCTCTATGTTCAAGTGTGTAGTCATAATTTTCTAGCTCTAGGGCCCATCTTGCAATTCTCGGGTTGATGTCCTTCTTATTTAAAGTCATTGTGAGTGAGTTGCAATCAGTTACTATTTTAAAGTGTCTACCTTGCAAGTAAACTCTAAAACGCTTTAAAGAATAAATTATAGCCAAGGTTTCCAGCTCGAAACTGTGATATCTGGACTCAACATCGGTAGTTCGCTTTGAAAAATAAAATATGGGGTGGAGCTTTCCATCGCTTTTCCTCTGCAGCAATATTGAACCATATCCTATAGAACTCGCGTCACAATGTAACTCTGTCTCGTCCTTTGGGTCAAATAACGCCAGTATTGGCGAATCTATCAATTTGTCTTTGAGAGTCTCGAAGACATGTAACTCTTCGTTTCCAAAACTGAACCTTTTATCTTTTCTAATAAGATCATATAATGGCTTTGCAATCGTAGAAAAATCTTTGATAAATCTGCGAAAGTAGGAGCAAAGCCCCAA